GTGGGGAGTGGGGCTGGAGGGCACTGGCTGTTGGCCACCCCCCTGAGACTATAGAATAGTCAAGTAACCGATAAGAATTCATAGGTTACTTGACTACTCAATTAACCGATATTTAACATCCCTAAATAGAACCACTATAATCATAAAAACAGAACATGATTTTTTAAAGCAATTTCAACTCATTTTCAAATGCCACTATGTTGGACTGAGATAGAGTTCGAGGACTTTTGTGTTATGAGATTGATGGCATTATTAGGTAGTGCAATCTTGTGGCTAAGGCATGGGACTGGAAGTCAGAAGTGTGTTCTGCTTTCATGTCTTACACTGATGTGTGCTGGGTGGCCTGGGTGAGCTGCTTAAGTTCTCTGTGCCTCAGTTTCTCTTTTATAAAACTAGGATAAAGAACGTGTTCTAGATCTGCCTCCCAGAAGTTCTTTTTCTAGATCTTCAGCGCAAAGGATCTACAGAAGTGAAAAGCATTGAACATGTACTCACCTTTAATGTATTTATAAAAAGAGACTACATGGAAAGATGAATGTCTGTTCCTCATTTAAACACTGGATTTGCATGACATTTTATTGTAGTGTAACCCTTTGTGAGCTCTCTGACAGGGTCTTAGTCTTCCTTTGGCACTGCTCATCTAGTATAAAGCCCTGGATATGCTTATAACACCATACAAAGAATGAGGTGGGAAAAAGCAACAGCATCGAGGTTCAATAGTCAATCTACTTATAAGACCCCCGGTACTCTAGGTCCGAGCACCTCCTTGATGTTTACTCTGTGAGGCAGGGAAGTATTATAACCTTGGAAGTATTGTGACCTCTTTACAGAGGGAAATTGATGTAAAGGGAGAGGAAGGGACTTGCCCAAGATCACAAAGGTAGTCTGACATAGTTGGAAAAGAAACCCACATCTCAGTCCCCATCCAGTGTGTTAACCATGATACCTCCCTACCTCTCTGTTGGGGTTAGTAGAAAAAGCTCATTTACTCACAGAAACCGTCCTCTTGGGGAGTTTTACAAAAGTGCAGCTGCTCCAGCACAGAAATCCCTGAACTAAACCCTTCTTTAATTCCTTTCTGCAAGTTGTACACTGGGATTCTTCAAGATACAGAAAATTTGTCAGTAAGAAGCTCATGATGAGGTGAGGGGGAAGGTAAGTGGTTCTCAACCGGGGTGCATGAACCCCCAGAGTTACGCAAGTTACACCTACTAACTCATGTAGATATTTGCCTCGTTGCACAACGGGCTGCATAAAAAGCAGTAGCAAAGTCAGTACCAACTAAAATTTCATTCGGTGACTTGTTCACACTGCTCTGTAGACTATGTAAATAGATTATGAATGTAAATACAACATTTATAATCCAATTGATTTATTTTATAATGATATAGTAACAATGAGGAAGTCAGTAATTTTTAAATAATAGTGTGGCTGTGACTTATGTCTGATTTTGTAAACAAGTATTTTTAAAGTGAGGAGAAACTAGGGAACCACAAACAAATCAGACTCCGGAATGGGGTGCAATAGCCTGGAAAAAGTGAAGTGCTACTGACAGATTACTTCAGAATTACCTGCAGAAGAGACATGGCACAGAGTACAAGGCCTCTTCTGCTCCCTGGCATTCTAGCTCCTCCAGCCACTGTGTTCAAATCCCTTAGCTGTCCCTCAGGTTGGGAAGCATTTTGAAATAACGCGTCTAAACACAAAATGCATTTTGAAATAGCGTGTCCACACTGAGTGGACTCTGAATCACATTTAAGGCTGGCCAGAACCAGTTCTGGCAGGGCACCAGGTCAGGACTTACTGTGTGGGGCTGCTGCCTAAGGCTAACTGAGGTCTGTGCTTAAAGCTCGCCCCCCTACCCCCACTCCGGACAGCCAGTTCTCAGATTTTCCCTGCTTGCTTGCCTACCTCGATGAGGGACAGCAAAGCATTTTTGTCTCGGTGTGCTCTGATTGCCCTCACTCGGGACATCACAGCACTCTGCAACATGGAGCCAGAGCTGTCCCTGGGCACTCTGGTGTTTCTCTTGGACGCGTTGCTGCGAGCCTGGCTGTACTTGCTGCAGGCTGCCATCTGGGAGGTCCATCAGGGAGCTTTCAGTATCCAGGAGGCCCTGCGGGTGAGCTTTTACCCTGAGGAGCACTAATAGTCTCCCTGGTCTGCCTCACTGGGGGCTTGTGCCTCATTCCTCCCTCACGTCCTTCCACTTACCCCTCCCTAACCCCCTTCCTGGTGTAAAATAAAATATACATATTTTCATAAATACAAACCCTCATTGTTTAACAAAACCAGGAGGGGGGGGGGGAAAAGATCTCCCTGGCATGCCCCACTGGGACCTTGTACCTTATTCCACCCTCATGTCCTTCCACTTTCCCCTCTCTAAGCCCCCTTCCTGATGTAAAATAAAAATGTGTGATGCCAAAAACAAACTCTGTTTATTGAACATAACTGGGATGGGGGTGGGGGGATGAGGATGGGAGAGCAGAGGCGAGAGGGTGGGAGAGAGGAGGGGTAAACCTGGGAGGAAGGAGCTGGAAGGGGGAGGTGAGGGGAGGAAGGGGGAGGAGAAGCTCAGGGTTGGGGGTCTTGCTGGTCCACCTGTCTCCCCGCACTGTGGGTGCAGGGGCCTTGGTGTCCCCAGGAGCGGATGAGCAGGAGGAGTGGGGGGAGAAAGAGGCAAGAGGGGGAGCAGGAGTGGGAGGAGGAGCGATAGCTAGGGTGGCAGCAGGGGCTGGAGCGGCAAGAGGCACCAATCTCTACACCAGGGTCTGCAGGTGGTCGCAGATGGCACGGCCCTGGGCAAGCAGCTTCCGCCAGCTCTCCCACCAGAGCTGCAGGTCTTCATGCACCCAGTGCTCCAGGATGCAGACCTGCCTTCACAGGATTCCCAGGTGCTGCCGCTGGTAGTCCTCCTGGTTCCGGGTCACCTTGCTGACCTGGGTGCAGGAGGATGTCCTGGGCGGGGTGATGCACCCTGCACTCGTAGCTGCTGCGGCTGTGGAGAAACAAGAGAAGTGGTCAGTTATCCCTGGGGACACAGTGGGTGAAGCCCAGCCCTGCTCTGCAAGGTGAGGATGACCGTTCCCTGCACCGTCAGAGCCCATGTGCTTGCGCACAGGCCATGTTCAGAATGTCCTGCTATCCCTCAGAGAGGGAGCTGCCTCAAGACCACCCCCATGTCCCTGTGGCGTATATCGTGTGGGTGTGGGGGGGAGATGTCCCCTGCCTCTGTGTAGAGTGGCCTTGTGGAGGAAGGGCATCCTGCTGTGTCCCACCCCGGAGTCAGGAGGATGTCACGCCTCCTCACACACACATGTGGCTAACAGGGTAAGGCCCCTGTGTGGCAGCCAGCTGGGGCCACATGCCCAGGGGTGGCATGGCACATGCTTGCACGTGCACAGGTTCCTGCGTGATCCGTTGACAGCAAGGCCCACACACGCAGTCCCTGGTTTCTGTCCCTCCTCCTCCATATAAGGGGACAGTGATGGCACTCACATATTGTTGCCTCCCTGGCCTGAGATGACACCGGCGACAGGTCCGCTGGGGCAGCTTGGGGGTCCTGGCTTATCTGGGTGATGATGATGGCCTCCTTTGGCTCCTGGCTCTCCTCCTCCTCCTTCTCCTCCTCGATGCCCCGGTCAGGGCACCCTGCCCCAGAGTTGACAACCACTGCGGGGCACGGACCATCCCGGCTCTCCTCCTCCTCCTTCTCCTCCTCGATGCCCCGGTCAGGGCCCTCTGCCCCAGAGTTGACAACCACTGCGGGGCACGGACCGTCCCTCCCCCAGGATGCAGTCCAGGGTGTCAAAATAGGGGCAGGTGTGTGGGTCTGCTCCTGGTTGGGAGCTGCCCCCTGTGGCCCTG